TTCTGTTCTGTACATGCAAGGGGCCTAGTAAAGTGGGTCATAGGCAAGTACTGGGGCCCCACAACACACACAAAGGGTCTGTCTTCCTAGATCAGTGGTTCTCAGCCTTTTTAGAAACTCATTAAGACTTGAAGCACCTCTCAGAAAATGCCAGCTTTTAGTTTTCACTTGTTTTTTTACTATAGAAAAAAAATCAGAATAGAACAGTTCTTCTGTTGCGAAGAACTGAGACCACAACAGGTCAAAATGTTATTGATACACTGGATTCCTCTTTGAAGTCTCTGGGTTTATCTTGCGAATAACATTTGTATACCTAACAGTGCTAACACTGCATCGCACCCCATCACCCTTGAAAGGTTCTCAAGGCACCTTGGTTGAGAATCACTGCTCTATAATGGCTCCCTTTCACTTCAGGCCTACCATTGCCTCTGGTTAGCTAGCAGCTGAAACATATTGTTTTGACACTTTTCTTCCATATCACTGTCATACCTCATCTATACATAAAGTTACGTAATTTATTTCTCAAGTTATGGCTCATCTTCATTTCTTCTTTAATACAAAGACTGCCAGAGTGATCCTAATGAACCATTTTAAGCACAATTATACATCTCTTCCTGAGATGCGCGTTCTTGCAGTTATACATTAAAAAAAGCAAGCAAGCTCATTACCTGTTATCACATTAATATCTGGATACTCATTTTCACAGAGAGTAACAGCCTTGCTATCTTTCTCAAATGCTTCTCGAAGCTCTTTCTTGACTGCTGCTGAACCACATAATCGATATAGTCCTACAACCTGGAAGTAAAACCATGGCAACAACGTTAAATTTTGCCCAACCCAGAGCAATACTAAATAGTGATACTCAGCTAACTGGTATAGAAGAATCAAAATGTTTCATAATGTCTTCAGTTAAGAAAAAAGAAGTGCCCACAAGAGTTTCTAAAAAGCTACTTAGATAAAACAAAAATGGATGTTATAGGATTTGGGCATATAACAATACATGTTATTAATACTGCACAAACTTCAGGTGTCAGAGTTATCACATTATGGGTGCATGTACATGAGACACTACTGCTCAGTGGTTACTGTGCATTTATTTAGTACTTGTATAATCAAGTACTAAATAAATATGCAGTAACTGGAGTTACTGCGCAGGTGTGCCAGCAAACACCTTTTTCTTCATGCTACCGCACAGTAGCCTAATAATACTGAGCAGTAGCATATTAGCACTGTTGGTGCTGTGATGCACTACTGTGCAGTATTATTTGGCTACTACACAGTTAGCGTGTCATATAGATCTGCCCTATATAAACAATAATGTTCTCCATAACATTATCTCAACATCTTATCAGCTTGTTTCTAAGGATGCAGTTAATGCCTACACCCTTGTCTACTAAATCTATGACAGAAAATTATTCTTAATATGCTAATGGCTTACTGACTCCACAAGCAGCACAGCAAAAGGCTATCTTGTACCAAAGCAAAGTTTGCAGGCATAGGTGGAGGGAGAAAAAATTATATGGGGGAGGGGGGCCTGAGAATGTGTGCACCCTGCCCCCCCCAGCAGGCAAGTCTGTAAAGGAAGAGGTGGGGAAAGGGCCATGGGGGGGAGGGGCAGATCAAGGCCCCAGAGGTGAGGGAGGCAGTGGGGCACAGGCAGAAGCAGGGGCTGGGGTGAGTGTGGCTCCAGCCAGGCCAAGTGGTGGGACAAGCGGAGGCCCAGGGGGCATGTGCCCCACAATCTGTGCACAGGGCAGAGGCGGCTGCTGCTGCGTGATGGGCTTTGAGCCCTGCTGCCCCAAGAGCTGCACAATGCCACATGCATCCCGCCACCTGGTGGGCAGGGGGTGCAGCACAGCCTAGCAGCTGCAGGCATGTGGCATTGGCTGCTCCCAGGGCAGCTGCAGCAAAGAGCAAAGCATGGCGCACAGCGGCAGCTGCCTCCACCCTGCTGGGGCAGGCCCTGCACAGACAAGGCAGGGTATGGGACAGAGCCGTGAGCAAATCATCCGGTGCCCGGCATGGGTAGGGGGTGGTGGCTCCTCCTGCTGTGCACATGCCAGGAGGGCATGTGGGGGGAGGGTAAGGGGTGTGCCCTAGATCCACACGAGGTGA